GGACGAGAATAGCACAATTACTAGCTTGCTTGGTCGATAGACTTGGTGCACTCGCTCACTCACTCTCTCTCTCTCTCTCTCTCTCTCTCTCTCAGGCAAAGGTGACTGCAGCGGATGAGAAGAAATTCCAGCAACAAATTTTGGCTCAGCAGAAGAAAGACCTGGCGACCTTTTTAGAAAGTCAGAAGAAGCAGTACAAGCTTTGCAAGGAAAAGATTAAAGAGGTAAGAACCACCACATTTCAAAGAGGTTTGGAGCAAGTACGGTCCAAGCTTTGCTTTTGATAAATTTGGGCCTGCCCCGTGGTTTAATGCCCATTACCACATGGCGATCCGAATTCAGATTCCTAACTCCTCGGGCCTTCGGGAACGGGGAGAGCCTGGGGTCGTTCCAGAGTGATTTACTAATATTCTCAGTAGCATCCGCCAGCTACAGGAAGGTGAATCTCCACAAAGCAGGATCTTTGAAACTGAAAGTCAGAGGGAAAAGGAGAGCTCTTGGAGAATTCCCACCGGCATCCCTCACTGAGCGCCAACTTGGTCATCAGCTTTATTTAAACCATTTCTAAGGCACCTGCCAATAGTCATCAGCGTGCTCAGCCATTACCAATACAAAATCAAAATAAATAAATGGCCTGCCTATATATACAGCCAGTCCCACCCCAAACCGCATGCATAAAGGCAGCATCACACCGGTCAAAGGGACTAGTAGCATAAAATGCAGGGAGAAAAGGGATAGCAAACAAGGAGCAGGAGAAGAGCCTCATCAAGGGGGTGAATCAGCAAAGCACTTGAGCATGTGCTTACGGCCCATTGGAGTCCATGAAACTTAAGCATGTACTTAAGTATTTTGCTGAAAGTGTGCTTAAGAAAATACAGACAAGGATAAGTCTGCAGAAATGAGGAGGCTTTTGCCTCAGTGCTCCAAAGGCGGCCAGCAGGACTGTCCTCTGAGTGTTGCCCGTCCAAAGAGCCTGGCCTGACGTAGTCCTGCTTCCAGCCTCAACTTGTTAATGCGCTGGTTTATCTGCGATGAGCTGACTGACACAAGGAATCTCCAGAACCGCGTCCCACCTTGCGGGCTAACGCTAAACAACGACGTCAGCCGCCCAGGTATTGACTAATTTATAGGAGGGAGTTGCCTACTCCTGATCAGAAAATAAACCAACTACATCCCTACCCCCAGGAAGGGAAAATGCCTGAGAGACCCCTGGTGTAATTCTATATCCATACACCCTTGAGGCTGAGGCCAACACACTCTGCAGCCTGGGCTGAGGGCCCATTTGACACCACTATAATGCTTCTCTTTAAATGATGGGGTACCTGGTATTGCCACAAGGACTGTTTTGCCATTCCCCATCGCTTAGCAGAGCTGAGCACGCTTCACGCTCCTTGTTACCTTGGGGGGACCGTGCCCAGACAGTGACTCTAGTCAGCCCCCAGGGGTGTCTGAGAACAAGCAGGCTAGCCTGCCTCCATCCCATCTAGCCGACCTTCATTGAGCTGTAACGCTTGGCTGAGATTTAAACCAAAAAAACCTTCCCCAAATATCCTGTTTTTCCAGGGGCGCTACACCATTAAATCGGTGGAAACTCTTAAAAAAAAAAAAAGTAGTATTGTGAAAGAGTGCTTCAGGGAAACTGTAGCAAGTACACAAACTGTCCAAACGGCGCTGTTCTTCTTGTGGCTGGCCTTGCAAGTCTATTGTAGTACATGACATAATGTGCATTTACATGGCACCTTGCAGTTGGGAATTAAAAGCACTTTACAAACCTTTCCTTTATTAAACTTGCTACCAAATTCCTTACGTGTGTGGGTGGGGGGATAGATAAATATATTATCTTCATTTTGCAGCTGAGGAAACTGAGACATAGAAGGGTTAGATGACTTGACTTACCCAGGGTCACAGGACCAATCAGTAGCAGAGCTGGGAATTGAGCCCAGGAGTCACTCTTCCTGGAGTGCTCTCTAGCAATCCTTTTTGATGCCGTTACATTGTGTTCGTATCATTGCTGTCTATAAGCCCACAGATGTTTGCCCTGCCAATAATTTTAGTTCAGCTAGAGAGGGGGGGTGGTCTGGGGACTCATTCAGATCCTGTAAACCTCGTGGTTCCGTTCTTGCCATACGTCACAGAGCTGTGTAATAAATTTGTGCTTGAGAAACTGGCCAAAGGATCTCCAAGCTATTCAGACTGGCAGTGACTTGGGAATCAGTCCAGCTGTAGTTACCAAATGAAAGCGGCGGCTCTGTGTTTCACATGTGATGGGATACTTGGTAGCATTTAAAACTGAGATTAGTAATGCCTATGGTTCCGTTTGGGCCCAGAGTGAGGGCGACCCCCTGAGGAAAAGCCAAACTGGATTGGGGAGCATTTCACTACATACCTGAGGGTTGGGGTTTTTTTTTTTTAAATTCATTAAAGATGTTGTTACTGCCAGCCTTTGGTGGCTTTAAAGACCATCCAGGCTGCAGGTGCTGGTTCAGACGGAACAAAGGAAGCCAGGTGTCAATTTGTCAGTACAAGGAACGTGGCCTTCCAGTAGGGTGTGCTTCACTGTTAACAGTTCAACACAGGTTTCACTTCTGTACTTTATAAACTGGTTCAGGTAGTCAGAATTTCCTTCTGCTGTCATTCTTAGCACAAGCATCATATAAAAGCTAGGTGCTGTCATTATCAAAGAATCCTAAATAGAACTGCCTCGATCGTGAACTCGGGTGTTGGCGGCTAAGTAGCTAGAGCACAGAATTGGAATCCAAGCTTTTCTGGCTTCTATTCACAGCTTTAACACTGACTTATGTAGGCTTTGGGCAAGTCATTTGTCCCTAGGTCCTCAGGTGTAAAATGGAATTCAGTGGTGGTGTGAGGGGTAGTGTCTTTAACGCACTTTGAGATCCTAGGGCGAGAGGCGCTTACAGGAGTACAATGTGATGTTGTTACTACTACTGTTGTTATAAGTAGGTAAAGGGGAGTGCATAGTCACGTGAGTGTACCATTACCATCTACCTCCAGAGGGCTCATGTGGGCATCATCTAGATAGGCAGGTTGGTCCTAAGAAGCGACTTGTTTCTTGATCATTTATTGGTGTGTGCACGCACCCAGGAGATGAATGAGGACCACAGCACACCGAAAAAAGAGAAGCAAGAGCGAATCTCCAAACACAAAGAGAATCTGCAGCACACGCAGGCCGAAGAGGAGGCCCATCTACTCAGCCAGCAGAGGCTCTTCTACGACAAAAACTGCCGCTTCTTCAGGCGAAAAACCATGGTTAAGAGGCACGAGATGGAGCAGCAGAACATTCGGGAGGTACGTCACTCTTTGATATTTGGCGCTATTTAACCTCTCCCTCGCTGGACTGTTTGATTAGTTTGTTCTTAGCTGTTCAGGGCTGTAAAGCAGTGGTTCAGGAACCAGGGGGTGATTCGTGGAGTTCTTGCTAGTTCCCTGGTACTGGCTTTTCTCGTTTCTAATTGCTAAATTGCAAAAAGAGCTAAAAAGACATGTAACATTCTGGCTGTTAATTTTCCAAATAAGCAACTTCTGTAGTGGCAACAAGGCTTCTCTTGCTGGTGTGGGCAGCTCCAAGGGAAGAGACTGAGTTTGGGAGTCAGGCTCTCTTGAGTGGAAGACGTCTCCTTGGTGTGGGATTTGTTGGGTGACCCCACTGGGCTTCTCTGGCAGGAGACCCGAGAGAGTCAGCTGCCATGTGTGCCATCCTCATCCAGGGTATCCTGGGAGACGTCGGTGGTACACTTACAAGAGCAGTAGCACAATTGAGTGTTCGTCATGTGACCAGTTTCTACTCTGTTGGATTGGTTACGGACAGTTAGATGGCTAGAAGTAGATGTTACCCCCATAAACAGCATTAAAAGCATAGGCGTGCGCAGGGGGTGTGCCGGGTGTGCCTGGGCACCCCCTAATGCAGGGCAGGCAGAGCTGTGGGGGGGGCGGGGCTACGTGCTCTCACAGGGCAGCATGTATGGCGCCGCGCTGAGCCAGACGCTGCTAGGAGCCTCCCTCATGGTTGCGGGGGGTGGTTGGAAGTGGCGGGGGGCAGTCAGGGGACAGGGAGCAGGGTGGGTTGGGCCGTGGGGTGGGCGCTCTCACCTCGGGGGCAGCTCCCCCCTCCCCAGCGTCCCTGCATGCAGGGGAGAGTCTCGGCAGAGGCAACTCTGTACGCTGCCTCCTCCCCCCTGCCAGCGCTGACCTGGTTCTCAGCCCATTGGCCAGGAACCCCGGCCAATGGGAGCTGTGGGGGGCGGTGCCAGAACTGCCTGACCACGCCTCCCCTGCAGGGAGGGGGAGGGAGCTGCAGGCAGAGAGAGCCTCAGGCTATTCTTCAGGGGGACAAGGTGTCCAGGGCAGCCTGGGGGGCTAGCAGGGGGTCTGGCGCTGGCAGCAGCAAGTGACCTGGCCCAGCCCGCTCTGCTCCACCCCACCGGCTCCCAGCATTGCTCAGTGGTGGGGGTTTGGGGAGGGGTGGGGCATGCTGGGGCCGGGTTGCTCGCTGGTGCCAGGCTCCCCGCTAAGCCCCCAGGCTGCCCTGGACCCTGTGTCCCCCTGAAGCACAAGGCCCCCCAAAGCACGGGCTCCAGGGTGGTTGCCCCGATCCGTCCTATGGTTGGCACAGCTCTGCTTGGGCACCACCAAAAATCATACAAACCTGCCGCCCCTGATTGGATAGGAGGTGGGATTATGGGGTGGTGGTTAGGGGCGGGGGTCTCTGGAGGGGGTGGTCAGGGAGCAGGGGGGGTTGGATAGGGCATGGGAGTCCCGGGGTCTGTCAGGAGGTGGGGGGGTGGATAGGGGTCAGGGCAGTCGGGACAGGGAGCAAGGAGGGTCGTGGGGGGTCTTTTGGAGGCGATGGTCAGGGGAC